TCTTCTTCTTCTTCTTCTTCTTCTTCTTCTTCTTCTTCTTCTTCTTCAGAGAGGGAGAGAGAGCAGGTGAGGGGCAGAGGGAGAGACAGACTCTTAAGCAGGCTCCATGCTCAGCACAGAGCCCGATGAGGGGCTCAATTACACGACCCTGGGATCATGACCTGGGCTGAAATTAAGAGTCGGACACTTCACTGACTGAGCCACCCAGGCACTCCTAAAGATCCATCTTTAAAGAAATCATATTTCCATGCTTTTTGTTCCTATGAAAAACAAAACAAAACAAAACAAAACAAAACAAAACAAAACAAAAAAAACAGAAGAGTTTCTTGATGCCTTAAATGACCTAAGAGAGCTGGACTAACTCATCCTGGGCTCCCAAATGTAGTCCTGAAAAGGTGACCGAGGGTTCAGAAGAGTGGGCACCCCCCCCCTCGCTCATAACAGTCTCTTCCAGAGGCTCAACTGCCAGTCACTAGCAACTCTCTGTGGTGCGCCCCTGGCATGGAATGAGCCACACCAGCACAGGAGCCAGGACCTGAACAGTTAGAGAATCTTGTTCCCAGGAATGGGGCAGGAGCAGAACAGTATGGGAAATGTCTGGACTTGACTAAGCCCTATATTTGGTAGGGGATGAATAGGGAACGTGTGGCACATTCTGGCCAAACTGTCTCTTGATGTCCTGCGATTTCTGTCTCAGTGACAGAAGGAGCCCTACATAGTCTTAACCAGAGAGAGGACAGGGTTCCTGGGTTGGCAAACCCTAGGGCACTGCTTTCAAGGAGCTTGCCTGGTAGAGGCAATGCTTATACAGATATCCCCATGTACTCCCAATCACCCTCCTCCTCAGCAAATGGGAGCCTTTACTCGGAGTACCACATTGAATTCAGAACTCTGGGAAATAACATTTTTTTTGAAGTCACCAAAAAATAGTATTAGCCCCAAAGGGGACATAGGGCATACACAGATGAAAAGACAATCATATAGGGCAAAAATCTTAGAGCCACCATAGGCAGCAATCAATCCAATCAGTTGTCACAACAACTCTGCAGGCTATCTATTATCCTGTTTACAGAAAGGATATGGAGTCTCAGAGAGGCTGAGGAAATCGTTCACAAAGCAAGAAGTGGTAGGACTAGGTGCTTAGAATTTATTTACAGGGGCGCCTGGGTGGCGCAGTCGGTTAAGCGTCCGACTTCAGCCAGGTCACGATCTCGCGGTCCCTGAGTTCGAGCCCCGCGTCAGGCTCTGGGCTGATGGCTCAGAGCCTGGAGCCTGTTTCCGATTCTGTGTCTCCCTCTCTCTCTGCCCCTCCCCCGTTCATGCTCTGTCTCTCTCTGTCCCAAAAATAAATAAAAACGTTAAAAAAAAAAAAGAATTTATTTACAGACAGAATGTCCACATGTGAAAAGTTTCATAACTCTGGAGTATTACAGCATCAATGCTGGAAAGGCCCTTAGGGATAGTGCACTGGACAGCCTTGTTCTACAGATGAGCAAACTATAGCAAGAGAGCCTATTTGATCTATCTCCAGTGTCAGTTGCCTATGAGAAGAGTCAAGAACTATCAGATCTTCAGACTTTCATTCCAAAGCTCTTCCCACCCTCTCCTCGTACACGCTATCCTTACACTGACATTGATTTCTCCCTTTTTAAATTACTAGGCTTTTGAAACACATGCTCATGCCACGAAGGACAATGAAAGGGAAATCAGGTGTCTCAAGGTCACTGCTACTTTGCAGGAAGTGCCTGTAGCCTGAGCATGTATCCAGATGAGCTGAACTAAGAGACACTGTAAGTTTGCTTTAAAATGTGCACATATTACAGATCATCCACATGATATGCTTATGACAAACACTTTGTTTTTTAATTAGAGAGAGTGAGAGAGTGCAAGTGTGGCAAGGGCAGAGAGAGAGAGAGAGAGAGAGAGAGGATCTTAAGCAGGCTCCACTCTCAGTCCGGAGCCTGATGTGGGGGCTGGATCCCACGACCCTGGGATCATGACCTGGGCCAAACTCAGGAGTTGAACGATTGAAATACTGAGCTACTCAGGTATCCCACACTCCTTCTTGCTTAGGACCAGGAAAAAAAAAAAAAAAACAGATGCTGGCTTACAGATTCATTCATTCCAGGTGCAAATGAAGTAAAGTGCTCTGTACAACAAATGTGTAGCACATAAAATATCAAAACATATTTCTTTTTTTTTTTCAACGTTTATTTATTTTTGGGACAGACAGAGACAGAGGATGAACGGGGCAGGGGCAGAGAGAGAGGGAGACACAGAATCGAAAACAGGCTCCAGGCTCTCAGCCATCAGCCCAGAGCCCGACGCGGGGCTCGAACTCACGGACCGCGAGATCGTGACCTGGCTGAAGTCGGACGCTTAACCGACTGCGCCACCCAGGCGCCCCAAAACATATTTCTTGAATAAGCAAATGATAGTAAAAAGCAGTAGTGAGAACTGGGTCTCCAGAGAGCATGTAGTTACAGAAGCATGCCCAAACTCAAAAGAACTCTACATCATATTCTCACGACAAGCTGCATTTATATTTCAACAAAAATATGTCAGCATCGAATTGCATTTGTTCACATTTTCTTGCCTTTTTAGTTTTATTTTAATTCATGTTTGGGTTAGGTCTGCATAAGCACTATAAACATAAAAAGCTTATACCCAATGTTATGTTTACTTATATTTTAAGGGCACAAAAAGTTGTCTTTTTTTTGTGTGGAGATTTTTTTTTTCCTTTAAGATGGAAGGGTACAATATTCAAGTTTGAGAACACTGTCTATCACTGCTGGCAAATAACATCATTTTTATACATTTCTTCTCACTCCACACCATCCTCCTCGATCCCTAACCCCCACCAGACGCTGGAAGCAAGCTCCCCTTGAGGCTTACCTGCAGGGCAATTTCCTTCTTCTTGCTGCCCATGGCTCTGCAAGGAAGACAGAAGCCCTGTTACTAAGGGCTCCAGCTGTTTCCAACAGCAGCCTGGAGACAAACCGCTGCGAAGACCCCCAAACCCAGAGGTAATTATAAGTGGCAGCAAAGAAATGCCCTGATGCAAAATGAACACCCCACGGGGAAAGTGGAGCCCGCAGCCCGCAGGATCGTGGCTCTCCGGACGGTTTTCTGCCAAGACCCCTCCCCGCATGGAGTCGGGGAGCCTGCGACGCAGCCCTTCAGGCATCAGAGCTCCTGGCGAAGAATTCAGGCAGGAAAAGGCCACGGAACCCTGTTATCCTTACTGCTGCCGTGTATTCCCGGGAAACTGAGACACCACGACGATCTCTCGACAGGTACACTGTCCTCGACGTGCTGCAAGCGAGTTTCCAATCTAGTCTGCGGCGATCCAGCCACAGTCGTCAGGGCAACAAAGCGTAAACGTCCAGGTAGTAAACTGGCGTATACGTAAGCCACGCCCACTGTGGGGCCCTCTGAGAGGCGGGAGGCAGCCCCGCCCCCTTGCTGTCAGAATTGTTCTGTAGGAACACTCCCATTGGCTGAAACGTTTGTCAGTGTCTGGGGATTGGGATCCGCCCAGCAGAGACCCTGGGCACGCCTGTACTTTACGGTTGAGTCCCCAAGCCCTGCATCCGTCCTGCCCAACCAGAGCTGGTGTGCAGCTTTTCTGTTGGTACGTAATGCATGCCAGGCAGCGGTGGCTCCAGGTTTTGAGGAATCTGAAGGGATTCCCTTTAACAAAGAATACAAAATTACAAATGCAAAATCATGCATGAAAGTCAAGTGGAACAAATGGAAAACAGTTACAAACAAGGTGTGAGTCGTCTACACCAATTAAAAGACAGAAATTGTCAATGGATAAAACAGCAAGGCCCAGGGGCGCCTGGGTGGCTCAGTCAGTTCAGCTTCTGACTCCAGACTTCCACTCAGGTCACAGTCTCAGGATTGGTGAGTTGGTGAGTCCGTCACCTTGCGGGGCTCTGTGCTGAGGGTGGGGAGCCTGCTTGGGACTCTCTCCTCCCCTGCTCGCTCTCTCTCTCTCTCTCTGTCTCTCAAAAATAAACAAACTTAAAAAAAAGAAAAAAGCAACACCCAAGTGTGTGTTGTCTATAAGAAATTCACTTTAAATATAAAGACACAGATAAGTCAAAAATAAAGGAGTGGAGAAAGCTGTGCCATCTTAACACTAACCAAAAGAAAGCTGGAGTAGCTATCTTAATTTCAAGCAAAGCAGACTTCAGAACAAGGAAGTTTATCAGGAATAAAGAGAGGACAAAACATAATGTTAAAGGTGTCACTTCCCTAGGAAGGCATAATAATATTTAATGTGTATGTACCTAACAGTAGATCATCAAAGTATATGAAACAAAAATGTATACAACTGTATAGAAAAAAATAGACGAACTTACCATCATAACCAATGACTTCAACACCATTTTTTAGTAATAACTAACTCCAGCAGGCAAATCCAGCAAGGATATAGTTAAACTGAACAACAATGTCAATCAACTTAATCTTACATTTATAGAATACTTCATCCAACAACAGCAGAATACAGGTTCTTCTCAAGTTCACATGGAATATTCACCAAGATGGACCCCTTTCCAGGTCATAAAACATACCTTAACAAATTTAAGAGAATATAATTCATACAGAGTCTATTCTTAGACCACAGTGGAATTAAACTAGAAATCAATACCAGCTGATGAAAGAAATCAAAAGGATTTAAGTAAATTGAGAGCTACTCCATGTCTGTGGATAGAAAAAAATCACTATTCTTAAGATCTCAATTACTCCCAATATGATGTGTAGATTAAGCACAATTCCAATGAAAATCCTAGCAAGCTATTTTGTGGATATCAGCCAGTTTATTCTAGAGTTTGCATAAAAAGGTAAGGAGGGGTACCTGGGTGGCTCAGTTGGTTAAGTGTCCTACTCTTGATTTCAGCTCAGGTCATGATCTCAGTTTGTGGCTTCAAGCCTCACATGGGGCTCCATACTGACACTACAGAACCTGCTTAGGATTCTCTAACTCCCTCTCTCTCTCTGCCCCTCCCCAAAGACTCACATGTGTGCTCTCTCTCCCTCTCTCTCTCAAAAAATAAATAAACATTAAAAAAGGTAAAGAGACCCAGAATAGCCGACACATAATACTGAAGAGTAACAAAGTTGGAGAACTGATGCTACTGAACTTCAAGACTTACTATAAAGATGCAATAAGCAAGACAGCATGGTATTAGTGAGAGAATAGATACATAGATCAATGGAACACAATAGAGTCCAGAAACAGATCTATATAAATGTGGTCAACTGATCTTTGACAAAGGGGCAAAGGAAAGTCAATGGAGAAAGGATAATCTTTTCAAAAAATGGTGCTGGAATAATTGGATCTGGACACAGATCTTACATTTTTCACAAAATTAACTCAAAAAGAATCATAGACAAATGTAAAATACAAAACTATAAAACTTCTAGAAGAAAACATAGGAAAAAATCTAGGTGATCTTGGATTTGAATTTTTAGACATGACACCAAAGGCATGATCCATGAAAGAAAAAATTTGTAAGTTAGTCTTCATTAAAATTAGCGACTTCTCATCAACTATACTCAAATTAAAAAAAAATCTTTTAATGTGTATTTATTTATTTTGAGGGAGAGAGAGAGAGAGCACACAAGTGGGGAAGGGAGAGAAAGAGAGAGAGAGATAAAGAGAGAAAGAGAGAATCCAAGCAGGTTCTGGGCTGTCAGCGCCGAGCCCAATGTGGGGCTCAAACCCACAAAATCGTGAGATCATGACCTGAGCCAAAATCAAGAGTCAGATGCTCAACCGACTGAGCCACCCAGACACCCCTAAATTTTTTTTAAATAAAAAATTTTAAACATGTGCTCTGCAAAAAAATTGTTAAGAGAATTAAATAGAAATGCCAGAAACTGGGAGAAAATATTTGCAAAACATATCTGATAAAGGACTGTTATCCAAAACACACAAAGCTCAATAATAAGAAAACGATCAACCCAATTAAAAAATGGGCAAAACATGTAAACAGATACCTCACCAAATAAGATATACAGATGAAAAGTAAACAAATGAAAACAAAATATCATCCACATTTGTCACTAGGGAATTACAAATTAAAGCAATAATGAGACATTTCTGCACACATATTAGAATGGCTAAAACCCAAAAAACTAACAATAATCGTTCACAAAAGTTGGCGAAGAGTAACAGAGCAATAGACACTCTCATTTGTGGCTGGTGGGAATGCAAAATAGGATACGGCCACTTTGGAAGACAGTTTGGCGGGTTTTTTTACAAAGCTAAATATAGTCTTACTATATGATCTAGCAATGATGCTCCTACATGTTTATCCAATTGATTAGAAAACTTAGGTGTGCACAAAAGCCTGCATGTAATGTTCATAGCAGCTTTATTCACAACCACCTCAAGTTGGAAACAACCAAGATGTCCTTCAATAGGTGAATGGATAAACAGACTATGGTACATCCATACAGGGGTGTCTGTAAGACACAGCATTACAAATTGGGTCTACTAAATGCAAGTAATGTGTGTTGCCACAGAGTGGTGGTTATTGAAGCTCTTGAATGGTTTGAAATCTCCCTTAGAACTTCATTTCCAAAATAAAATTCAAATCAGATGCCAAATTCCTGCCAGCACACTGAAAGATACTTTTTGTTCTTTTTGAAAGGGTTAGATGTCTCACTACTGGTTGGTCTCTATTATAAAATGTAGTCACATCTTTGCCAAGTTAAACCTCAGGACAAATTTAGGGCAACATGTCTTTATACTCCGACGTTACGCCTGCTGTCCTGTGCAATTATTAATATCAACCCTTTTCACTTTCAAAATAAAGTGTACAGTTTGGACAATATATGGCCACCTCAGTTTTTCCCCAAATGGATCACCCCAGCTTTTTACATCTTGATTTAATTAAATTTCCGTCTTTTACGTATTTTATGATATCCATCAAAGATTTGATTGCTTTGCCCAAAAGTCCTGCCCTAAGGAAGGCACTTTGTTTGTGTTGCTCTGTTTAATGCAAAAGCTTCTAACCTTAAAGGTTACTGCTGTGTTTTGGCATCTGAAAGAAAGAAAAAACAAACAAAAATTATTCTTACTCCTACCGGTTATGTTCATTGCCACAAGATGATGGTTTGCTCAAGGGAAACCCTTCTGTGATCCAATTTGGATACCAGGAGCATTTTCTTTATTAAAGCACTGAGGATTGTGTTGTGACTGTGTAAAACAAGAATGAACTTACTTTAAGAGAAAATCACAAACCAATGCATGTATCTCCCCAGGTAGCTTCCAGTTTTTCACGTTAGATGATAAAAGCATAGACATATTCACACCTCTCTGCTTCCAGATATTATGGTTTCTTTTGCCATAAATGACAACATGTCTCTAGTGTGACTGGCTCTGAGGAAAGCAGCTAGGAGCATTAAAATCTAATAGACTTGTGGGATGCCTAAGTGGCTCAGTTGCTTAAGCATCTGACTCTAGATCTCAGGGTTGTGAGTTCAAGCCCTGGGTTGGGCTACATGCTGGGAGTGAAGCCTACTTTAAAAAAAGTCTAACAGACTTAGGTTGGGTCCTTGGACCTACCAGCTGCTAGCTGTGTGAGTGTGGGGAAGTTATTTCAACTTCCTCAGGTTCAGTTTCCTAGACTTTAAGATGGGAAGTAGAGTACTCAACTTTCAGGGATGTTGTGGAGAGAGACAATGCCTCCTAAGTTTTCTTGATAGTATAAGGCCATTACTGTTGCTGTTGTTGAGCTGCCATCCTGTCTCCTCAGTGTGGGGCCATCGCTGGGAGGTGGCTTCCCAGCCAAGGATCACAGTGGCCATCGCCATTCCTGGCAGCCAGATGGAGCCATTTGATTAGTTTTTCTCAGCCAGGGTGGAGGTGATGAGCGCTGCTTGAGCCCAAATGGTGAAGTATCAGATGTGGACTCCCCCAGACTCCGTCCCCCATCTCCCAGCTTGAAGTTACCGTGATGACTTTAATGACCAGACATGTTTTTAATTTGGTGAAATTTGACTTATCAGTTTTAATTCTATATTTATTGTTTTCTTTGCCTTGTTTAAAAAATCTTTTCCTAAGGAATCTGCCCACTCCCAGGTCATGAAGACAGTCCCTTATTTTCTCCTGGGAATTATAAAAAAGTTCTAATGAAAGGAATTATTAAAATTTTACATGTAGGCCTATGATCCATCTCAAATTTATTTTTAACTGAAGCTTTTATTGAGATAACTGCAGAATCATGCACTTGCAAAAATAGTATGAAATCCTTTGTACATTTTGCCCAGTTTCCCCAATGGTAACATTTTGCAAACCTGTAGTATAATATCACAACCAGGATATCGACATTGTTACAATCCACCCCTCTTAGTCAGATTTCCCTAGTTTTGGTTCCACTTCTGTGTGTG